CGGTTGTTTAAGGTAAAATATAATTAAATTTGACCAAAAATAAAATCTTTCATTTTAGTAAAACTGGACAATAATTATGGGACGGAGGGAGTATTTTTTTTTGTTAGTTTTAATTCCTTTATATTTTGTTTTTAAAATTGTAAAATAATAGTAGTGCAATTGATAATTGCTCAATTTAAACTTTAAAACACTTTAATATTTTAATAAATTATTTTATTTACGGAGAATAGTTTCAATTGATTATAGTTATTCTCCACACAAGAAAAAAATTGACCCGAAAATATAATTTTTAATGCTAAACTATATAAAAATAAATATGAATCTGTTTGCATAAATAAAAGAACAAGTTAGAAATGTGCTTGAACTTATTTGAAAAATAGATTATAAAATCTATGTGCTGTTGAAGATCATATTGTATATTTAATAGCGCCAAGAAATAAATAAGAGAAAAAAGTTGACATACGGAAAAAAGAACGAAAAGGTACGATTTTATTAATTTTACATATATTAGGGGTTACACTTTGTATTTTTGAAACTATATATTTTATTATATAAAGTAACGGAACAAGGTTAAAAGTAATGTAATTGCATGAAATTGACCAAAAAGTGAAACTATCGGAATGAAATTGGCTTCCAAAACCTTTTTTTTTTTTTTTGCATTAAATTTACCAAAAGGCGGAAGGTTTGGATGAAATCGACTATTTTCTTATTTTTGTTCAAACAGGTTTTCAAAATCAATTTTAAAACATATTATAAAACATATTTCAAATATACAAACAAGCAAAACTACAAAACACTAACAAAAACTACAATCCAACCAGAGCCTAATATTTTGTAGAAAAGTGCCTGTATGGACATCATTTTTGTTTTCCTTTTTCCTTTTAGATTGGAATTAATGTGGTTCAAGACGTGTGACTTTTAAGAAAAAAAATAAAAATTAAAAATATACGATAATTTTTAAAATAAAATATTATTTTATCACCACTGCCATACCACCAACTGCCGCTGTTAGATCGCCACCGCACCAGGATTGGTGGTGGTTCGGCAGAGATGGGTGGCGGTCCGACGGCAGCGATTGTTGATTGTTGAAGTTGTAATAAAATAAGTTAAAAATAAAATCAGATGTAAGTTGAACTTTTGTATGTATAGTATTTATTTTGTATTACATTTGTGTTTAAGAAGTAATTTTTTTATTTTTAATTTTTTCTTGAGTGATTTTCCTTACACTTACATGAAATTTAAAATTTGAAATTTATTCTCTACTTAATAGAAAAGCCAAACAAAACTCAATAATGCCTACATTTTCAACAAAATGGCTCAGTATCAAAAAAGTTTTGTCATCATTCGTTCTCTCTCTTACTTTTGAAATTGGCCAACTTTTCATAACTTTATTTTACTTACAACGAAATTAATGGTACTAGTATTTTTCTAGTATTTATTAAGAAAATACAAAAGCTTATAACCTAAGATGTCACGAGGATTAAACAAAAGGGAAAAGACACAGTAACTTAAGGAGGAATGAAAAAGTTGCGAATCCCAATGGACCACTAGACGATGACACTCATGTCCCCAATCTTCAGGTCTGATTTTTTTGACCTACTTACTAGATTCCCCCTCCATCATTTGTACCATGCATTATAAGGGGTTTATTTTATTGTTGTTTTTATTTTATTAATGAACACATGAAGTTCTTTCTAGTTTCGACAATTTAAATTTTACACAACTACTCTTTCCGGTTTTTATTATAAACAGTAATGGATTCACGGGGGTTAGGGTGGTCAATCGACCCCTGACCGGCCGGATTTAGCCAAATTTTTTTTAGTAGAGTGTTCGTTAATTGATATTTTTTCAGTTTGACCTTCCGGTGCGATTGAATAATCCTATTTTTGACTCTGCAATTTGAAAGTTCTCGTTCCGTCACTGATTATAAGACATTTTGATTTATTTTAAATTTCACCTAATATATTTTTTATTGAGAAAAAGATCTTAAAAATATTTTAATAATTCAGAGAAATAAATATGAAAACGTATTTTTAATATTTTTTTCTTAATCAAAAAAACATATTAGGTGATACTTAAGATAAATCAAAATGACTTATAATAAGGAGCAGAGGAAGTACATTATACGGAGTGGAAATTCACGGTTAAATTGTGTTATATCTACATTTTAATTATTAGCAGTAATTATGCTCTTTTCGTTCAGGAAATAATTCATATTGAATTTTAAAATTTATATAAAAAAATATTACTTTAAAATTTAACATAGATTTTTTAAACAAAGTGATATTTATAAATCTTAAAATATCAATATTAAGAGATTATCAATTGTAAAGTATTTTTCAAAAAGATATTGTAAAGTTTGATCCTCATTACTTGGTGTGCATGATGCAATTGCACCACCAAATAATTTTTCGACACTGCTAATTCTTACTCCTTCCATTTTAAACCAAGTGTTATTAAACAACTTGTATACAATTGAAGAAACATTTAAATAAAAAAGTTAAATCACCAAAATATTCTCAACTTACTCAATTAATAAATTAATACAAATGTTGGCCAATAATAACATTTTTTTGAGGCCATTTTGGAAATTTTTGACAAAATTGTACTGAAATCGGAAAACGATATTTATTTTAGAATTTCTCTATTTTACTAAAATGAGACTTATTTTAAAGTAGAGGGAACATTTTGTTTGTAAGCACCTTATCCTAATATCATATTTTACTATTCCGTAAGCTCGAATTTGAAACTATATTTAAGGGCATTAAACTATATAATAATTTATAATTTCTCCGTATCAAAATTATTGTTCAGTTTAGATTTTTATTTTTAATACAAACTGAATTAAAAGTGAAAGTCCAACTTGGATAATAGACTTACTAATTAGTGCTTTAGCTAAAAGGTAGTTCTTATCCTTTAATAATAATTCTAATTACCTATTTCAAAAAAAAAAAAAAATCTAATTACCTAGCTAAAATGTGCATGATTGTCACGCACTATAGTTTGGTGATTCAGAGAAAGGAACATTGTCTAGGCATATTATGAAAGATTGTTTATAGAACGCATTTCATCTTTGTTGTTGAAAGTTCAATCCATATAGACAACATATATCTATTAAACACATAAATTGGCTCATATGTTCAGCTTTCTCAATCCTTAGAAAAAATGGGAACACAGTTTGTTCTCACACAAGAAAGGCATCATAACTAATTGCAGACATACATTAGTTAGAGACAATTTTCCTTCAACAAAAATTCTTCGAAATGTAACACCAAATGCACCATGTCGGAGAGACGTCTCTTCTACAGTACGTGAAGATGTAAATGCGCAGGGTTCCTTCTCCAGTACATAATCCAAAAGAAAATAAATCCTTCAGTGGACTAATAATATGTAGTATGAATTTGTGATTTATTAAAAGAAAATCCAAAAGGACAAATAGCTTTGATAAAGGAGCCTCGAGCTGAACAGAGGAAATGCTGAAACAATGGCCTACTTTTTCACACAACATGTTTGACTCCAGTTCATTCTCTTAGGACTACGAGCCACCGAATTTTGTCTTTCCTTTGTTGTAAGCAGAGCTTATTAGTGGAAGTGGAGTCTTAATAAAAGATAATTCTTCTGTCTCAGAAAAATAATTCATAATTCACAAGTGAATAATATGTTACGTAAAAGACTTATTTATAAATTAGTGTTATTGATTTCTTAAAAAAAAAATTAGTGTTATTGAGGTTAGAAAAGAAGAACTCACAGGCTGCCCTTTTTGCCATATGCTCCCTTTGAAAGATGTAATTTACCACAATTAATCTTCTTCACAAAAGGTATCAATCAGCTGCACATCTTCCCTCATCAGTAGAAAACTCTTCCAATTATTATTGTTACTCTCCCTCCCTCCCTCCCCACCTGAATTTCAGTCCTTTTGCTGACCCTACTCTCTTCCTCCAAACTCCAAAGTCCAAAATTATTCATCCCAAAACTTACAAAATTTGCCAGTACTGTCAGCAAAGTACCAGAACAAAATTCCAGTCTTTTCTGCATTTATTTCATTGCCATAATCCAATTCTTTTATTTTAGTTCGACAATTGATTCAATTCATTTAAAATCTCTCATTAATCTTCTTCTACTTCATTTATTCCTTCCATCTAAAAAATTAAAAATAATCGTTTATGGTACAGGGATGTAGAGGGGTTTCAGTTCCATTAACTCACTAGAACGAACAGTATAAAAACAGTAGTACGTACATTGCAAATTGCAGCAATCAAATTTGAGCAGAGAAAAGAGCCTTTTTTTCTCCTCATTGCCAACTGTTAATCATTAAAGCAACAAAGCAAATTACAAGAAACAAAATCAAACCACAAAGGAAAAAAAAAAAAAGAAAAAACTTTTTCTTTTCTCCTAAAACTTTTCACATTTCTGTCTCACTAAGTTAATAATAGTGCTACTACTACTACCTAGTAGCAACAGCAGTACATATCACTGTATTTCTTTCTTCCTCCTCTTTCTCCCTTCACTCTTTCCATATGCTCTGCAAAATGCATTTTTGCTCTCAAAATCAAATCTTTTTCATTATTATTATTTATTTGTTAACTGATTGTTTCTTAAGTACATGCCAGTCTACCACCACCACCACCACCGCCACCGTCAACCGCCGTCTCCTCCACCAACCGTTGTTCCCTGTTGACAGTTCTCATCCACCAGTCACTCAACCGGAACCGCCATTCCCGGCCCCTCAACCTCAGCCTCAAGTTCTTCCCAAGTACCCTTTTTCATCTACTTCCCCACCCGTTACCCCTGAAAACCCGAACCCATTTTTCCCTTTCTATTTATCTCCACCACCACCATCACTTCTTCCTCCTCCTCCGCCGCCGTCATCCGCCCTTGTAACTTTCCCGGCCAACATTTCTTCCCTCATTCTGCCTCGTTCTTCTTCTTCTTCCAACAAACCCATCTCTCACAAACTCATTGCAGTCATTATCTCAGCTTCCATCCTCTCCGCCGTTGTAATGGCCGGCGTGGTTGTCTTCTTCTTTCTCCACCGCAAGCGCCACCGCTATTACTACCAGCACCACCACCAGGAGCATGCCCAGCCCCTGCCTCCGTCCAAAACAGACAAAGTCCGACTATTCCCGCCTAATGCTGCTTCCTCTGACACCACCACCGCCGGTAAAAAACTACCCTCCCGGCCACCACCACCGCCGCCGCCGCCGAAGCTCTCCCGCCACACCGCCACCTCCTCAAGCACGGAGTTTCTCTACTTGGGTACGGTTGTGAGCTCCAGAGAAGTCATTTATGAGGAAAGTGAAACTCCCCAAAGCCCAAAGAGTAACATTTCAGCTTCGCCTTCATTGCACTACCATCGGCTGGGCTCGCCTGAGCTGCAACCTCTGCCGCCGTTGCCACGTCAGCATCAGTTCCAAGAAAACCACCAAGCCCCGGAGATGATTTCTGACGATGAAGGAGAAGAATACTTTTCTCCCAGAGGTTCCACTGGGGAAAAGATCAGTCTTGATGAGAGAAATGAAGCACAATCACAGAGGTCATTTGAGGCAGAGGAAGATGGCCGAATTTCGAGCTCAAGTTCATATCATTATTCAAATTCACATTCTCTTGCTCATTCTTCGTCGAGTAGTCCTTCAGTTGTGTTGAATTTGAGCCCGAAAAGTAGTATGAGATCAGTATCGCCGGACTCCGTAGCCAACTTTCCTGCTCGGCCTATGTGTATTCCTCCTCCGCCGGCCCGAGAACGGCCGGAATTCCGATCATCTCCGCCAACTTCAGTGGACACCCGGAATTCTCCCTCGCGGGTTTCAGATTTTTCAGGGACGAATTTGGAATCTCCGTGTGAAAGTTTGAGCTTTTCTGGCCGGTTTGGGTATGGTGTTGGTGTCGGTGGGCTAACTGGTTCACCCCCGCCGCCTCCGCCGCCACCGCCCCCGCCCAGATTCTGGGAGACGCCGGAGTTGAGTAAAGGGCCACCGGTGTTGGTGGCACCTTCTAGGCCAGTTTTTGGGCAAACTGTGGATAATGGTTGTTCAAATGGAGAAAATGTGGAGGGAAGAAATGTTAAGCCTAAATTGAAACCCCTGCATTGGGACAAAGTCAGAGCAAGTTCAGACAGAGCAATGGTTTGGGATCAGCTCAAATCTAGTTCGTTTCAGTAAGATTTATTAACTTATCAAGCTTCGTTTTTTATAGTTTAAAGATGTCTTCTCTGGGTATAAAATTATAAATAAATAATTGATAATACTCTCTGCTGGTTTGAATTATAATAATACTCACTCTGTCCCAAATAGGACAATCATTTTGGGAGGGAAGGGAATAAGTAGTTTTACTTTCTTGGGTGAAACAATAATTTTTGTTTGGACAGCTCGAATGATGATTTCTGTTCTTCATGCGCTTTTATAATTGTTTGTTTGTCTGTTTTACCTGAGTTTTGTTCTTTTATTTTTGTCATTGGCTTCCTAATTTTACTTAAATGATTGAGGACTTGTATGGATTCCCTTGTAGGTTGAACGAGGAAATGATTGAGACATTATTTACTGCCAATTCTTCAAATCCGAATCCTAAAGATAATGTTAGGCGCCCTTTGGTGGCAACACAAAATCAAGAAAACCAGGTTCTTGATCCAAAGAAGTCACAGAACATTGCCATCTTGCTGAGGGCACTCAATGTGACGGTGGAAGAAGTTTGTGATGCACTTTCAGAAGGTAGATAAAGATTCTTAAGATCGAGTTTGTTAATGTACATGTTTGCCTTTTTAATTTTAACTGACAACTAATTTCTCATTTTGGTTTAATGAAAAAAGGCAATGCTGACATGCTGGGAACAGAGTTGCTGGAGTGTTTACTGAAGATGGCTCCTACTAAGGAGGAAGAAAGAAAATTGATGGAGTTCAAAGATGAAACACCATTCAAGCTCGGGCCTGCTGAGAAGTTTCTCAAAGCCGTGCTATGTATACCTGATGCATTCAGAAGGGTGGATGCTATGCTGTACATTGTCAATTTTGATTCTGAAGTTGAGTACCTTAATAGGTCATTCGAGGCGCTAGAGGTAAATTTGTGTAGATTCTTTGTGACTGTTGTAAAAATCTTACTAATATGCCTTCACATGGCATCATAGTGACATATGATTGCTGTAGTCAACGTGGTATAAGAATTTTGAGTCACTGATTTTGTAGGAATCTGTCATTGGTTGTCTGATTGATCATCTTTCGTAATCGTTCTGAAGGTGTCAACCAGCCTTATTGGATATGCTACTGTCTCTATTGTCAACTTAGACATCTATTGCTTTTAAATATCACATTGCTCATACTTGAGTTTTGCAGGAAGCCTGCAAAGAACTGAGGAGCAGCAGAATGTTCATGAAGCTTCTTGAAGCCGTTCTAAAGACCGGAAATCGCATGAATGTCGGCACTAATCGTGGAGATGCTCATGCATTTAAGCTTGACACACTTCTTAAGCTTGTAGATGTCAAGGGCACGGATGGTAGAACGAGCCTCCTGCATTTTGTTGTACAGGAGATTATCAAAGCAGAAGGTTATCGTCTTGCTGGTGCTAACAATCAAACCTCTGAAACAGAGGACCATCAACTTGCATTACAGAAAGAAGTTGAACATAGAAAGATCGGTCTTCAAGTTGTATCTGGCCTGATTGGGGAGCTTAGCAATGTTAAAAAAGCCGCTTCGATGGACTCAGATGCACTTCACCACGATGTGGAGAAGCTAGCCAGTGGGATTGACAAAGTGTCAGAGATCTTGAAATTGAATGAAGAGCTTGATTTAACCGACGCTAACAAAAAGTTTACTGAATCCATGGAAGGGTTTCTGCAGAAGGCGGAGGAAGCAATCATCGCTGTCCAAGCACAGGAACGTGTTGCGCTTTCCATGGTCAGAGAGTTAACTGAGTATTTCCATGGGAATTCAGCCAAGGAGGAGGCTCATCCATTCCGGATATTCATGGTCGTAAAGGACTTTCTTTCCATCCTTGATCAGGTATGCAAGGATGTTGGAAAGATGAATGAGCGAACTTTAATGAATTCCAATAGACCGTTTCAGACAACACTGAATCCAAGCCATCCCCAAGTTTTCCCAGGGTTGAATGGAGGCCAGCAAAATAGTTCAGATGATGACGATGACCATGTTGATGAGCCGTCGCCATGATTCTCTTGGGTCTTGATCATTGAACATTAAGGAGCAATTTTATGCCTCTAGCGCCATATTTACAGGATGTCCGCGAAGAGATAAGAAAAGGGAGTAGGTTTGTGTTCTTTGGCCCTCCCAATCATTTTGCCAGCTTCTTTCATTCTGTTACTCTGTTCCTGTATAAATCTGTGTAGAAAATTTCTGGAGTTGTATCCTTATGTAAAATAGCCAAAAACCAAATTATGTCAATCAGGAAAGAATGTGCTATTCAAATTTTACATTCTCTTTTCCCTTTTGTAATGGCTAAACATATTGACAGGGGAGGAAGTTGCAGAATTGCAGTAAATCTACTTTATCCGGAATAGTTTCTGCAATGTTGTATATGATGCTCAAAAGAGCAAAAATGGAACTACACTTTATCTGGAAGATCAGTTAATGAGTTTATAAAAGAGAATCTTGCTCTTGATTACTTCTGCACAAATTTACTAGATATCAAATCCTACATATTCTCGGCATCCATGCGTTCGATAACACGCCTCGCTTCTTCTTCAGTGGCAGGAACGACGTTCCGTATCTTCAAACCACTTTTCAAGGCATCTGAGCGGACACCAAATGTGAAGTAGAACTTGTTTGACACCTAATGAAATTATGAAATTGAATGAGCATGAAAATCCATCAACACAAAATAAATTTTGTTTTCTTTTCAGCTGGTAGACCTAATGCGATTCTATATTTCACAACCAGAAACTAGGTGACCAAAACTTAAAACTAATATCTCAAGCAAACTGACAATGTTCAAGGCTAAATGATAAGTTTTGCAATGAATTCAGCGAATAAGATGTTATACCTCACTAGATCTAAGCTCAGGCCTTGTAACATGAGCGACAACCTCAACATTGATCATAGGATGATCTGGGTTTTCAAGCTCTGTATACAAAACACATGATTTGAGACGAAGGAAGTTTCCCACGTCCACCTGCATCGGCAAAATCATTTGCATTAATGTGTGAACCTTGACAAGCAATTTGTTACACCCTTGTCTAAGAACTTGGCCATATTCTGATAACAAGCAAGTCACGAACTCGAACCAGTTCACTCCTAAATGCATAATATGGCTACAAGGTTGACTTTATTCGAGGAACAGAAGGCACAGTGAATACGATACCTCACCAAAAACAAGAAGAGAACCAGAATACCAACCTCAGAAAGAAGAATGAGCATAACAACCAAAATCTTAAGATAATTATGTAAAGATTACTAGAATAGACGGGAGACTAGCTACTTACAGGCTTTAAGAAATCAACATGGTCAACTTCCAGAAAACATGGTGCCGTGCCAGCAAAAGCATAAGCTGTGGCAAAAGCCAATTCAAAAGCTCTTCGCATCAAAAAGCCACCAAATATTCGACCATGGATATTTCTTTGTTGTGGCTGACAAATCAAAGAATTTTGAAGAGATGTATCTTTTATTAAAATGCTACCTCTGTCAGCTAAAGCTGGCATGTCGGAGAATATCCGTCCTTCAGCCAGCAACTCACTAAGCCTATTAATTTCCTCATCATTATCTATCCCTTGTTTTTTCTCGCCTTTTTTCTTCTTCCTCAAAAGATTCCTCTCTTCTGCCTCTTTCCAAAGCAGTCTCTCCCTTTCAGTTTCAGGTGATATCTGATTCACAGGAGCTGATTTTCCAGTTTTCGAGTCACGAGCCACAAAAGTGAAGTTCGCTGTAAGAGCCATACTGTCTGACGAACCGAGTGTGTCTGCAAAAAGTGGTTAATGTTTTAGTATTCTGGTTAAAGAAAGAATAGGAATCAAAAGAGGAAAAGAAAATCATGATCCTTAACCACTCTGAGAAATGGCCTCAAATCCTAAATATAAGAAATTCTCCAATGAGAAAACAAAACATCTTTTTATTACTTTTTGAAAGTATAAAACAATGGTCTTTTGTGTCACCATCTTTCTAGAGGAACTTTGGAAGTTAATTCTATAAGAAGTAGCAAGATGGAATTCACTATAGCCATTATTTGTAAGCAAAATCTGAAGTGAAAGTGTCCTTAACGCTAAGTCAGTTCTAGCAGTCAATCTAGCACCAGTCCCGTAGATTTATTTATCTTTATTATCCAAGGGGAAATTTAAAGCAACAGAACATTGCATTAAATAATACGATGGTGATATAGCATCAACACAAGGATTACACCTGGGACTCTTCTTTTTGTAGTTTCAACATATCAAATGGAGAAGGAACTCTGAAATGTTTAAAAGGAATATTATAGTATTTAAAATGTAACAAGCATTTCAACAAATAAAGGGGAAAAGGACCTTGTCCACACTGAGTTACTTCCAGTTGAATCTCCAAGGATGATCGCCCAACCCAAGTGACTGCCCCTGTTATTTTAAGATCGGTGTCGACAAGAATCATTTTCTTCAGAACAATCTTGTCCACTGATGCAGTGACCAGTAATAGAGGTCTTGTAGTGCTGTCATTATTGCTGCAGTGCTGGCACAAAGACAATGCCAAATCAGCAAACAAGTAGACTACCGAATGAAGGGGAAAAAAGAGAGTGTACAAATAACAGAATACTGAATTGCAATTATAAGTTAGAAACAGAATCAGATGAAGGTATGCACCAAAACAAGAATGAGCATCACAGGCAAGACTTATATCCAATTTTTTTGTTGCCAATATTCATTAAACTTAAATACATTTTCTGGTTCAAGGATCTTGAACTTCAACTCGGAAAAGCTGTCTTCTCTTTATCTCGATTCATAGTTTCCAAACTATTTGAGAACATAGACAACTTCTTTTCCAAGAAAAATGGCTTCAGATATTCCAGCAAATATTACTGTCTAAAACAGGATATAAATGAAGATATAGCAAGGTTAATCTGCATTGTTATACTTAAACTTTTCTGATACATAAGCCAACTTGGAAGAAAGTGAAGAAATAGAAACAACTTGACACAACCGCATCATGAACATAGCAGAAATTGATACAAACAAAGACCAGTATCAACAAACCAATATCACAGAAAATAGCCTAGTTTCATAAAGTTTTCCACATCCAAGAGAAGTAAAGACAAAAGTCTACCAATTCAAGACCTCAGAAACCCCAAAACATGATTGGGCATAAAGCATTAAGATAAAAAACAAAATAAGCATGTTTCAAAGGTGATCATCAGGAAAGGCAGCGCACATAAACCACCACCTTAGAGATTCTACCAATCATAATAAGACAGGTCTTTCCAAAACAATATTAGAACAAAATGTATATGTGAATGAAGAACACACTTTTGTAGATCTTAGTGAAGTCGTTCAACAAACGACATCAGTTAATATGCACAAGATTTAAAGAATGCAAGAATCAGTTTAAGACACATAATAATTGTTTATTCAGTTCGCACTGGAAAATACAGCATGAGCTTAATGAAATGAGACTCTTCAGCATCAAGCTTCTAACACATATAAATGTTTAATCTGACTTCAAAGTAAAAGCTCATGATTCTGCAATAAAAGAATAATATGAAAAAATGCTAAACACCTCCATTAAGACCACCGAATGACAAATACATACTCATTTCATCCGAACTTTCATAACCTCCAAGAAAAATAATGAAACTTAAACAAAAATACAAAAATATATGACAAATCAATTTGAATTCGAAAACTGCAACTTTTTTTTACCTTGAAGGATATTGTTCCAGCCAAAGCATCGAGGTCTTCAACCAATTTCCCCATCCTGATCTCATTCCATGGATTCCGATATTGCTCCCTAAGTATGTAATCAGTGGAAAATTTATACACGATACTAGTCCTGCTCGTGGATGGTGGTTTAGAAATCAACTCATTCCTTGAATGGGCATCATCAGGAACATCGTTAGGCCTCTCAAAAATGCTAGCCCTTGCTTCCCATAAGGCATTTGTCACAGGGGAATGGTACATTCCGGGCCATAAGTTAATTGGCTTCCTCATCGAATGCCCTGCATCAATTGGCGCCGAGCTTTCACTAGGCGAACTGACCGTGGAATTCACCGGAACTGAATCAATTAAACCAGTATCCATCGATTTCGAAAAAGGGCCCGATGATGCATCCGAGAACAACCTCCTCTGAGAAAATTTATGCAATATTGGATTAGTAAGGATGATTTTGGACATGGGTATGGCTCTATTGAATGAATTAAGAAAATGGGTATGTTGTAGGTGCTTTCTAGATGGGACTTGGTTCCCAATGCACCCATTTCTGGAGTCACTTCTCCTGGCCTTGGGAGATACACTCTGATCAAAAGATACGATTTTGTTGATGGGTTCTGGTTGTTTTGATGAATCCAGAACGTCATTATGGTAAAGAAGATATAGGGAAGAAGAAGGAAGATTTTGGTTACGATAAAGATGAAATCTTGGTAGTGTCTGGGTATGGTTAAATCTTGAGTTCAGAAAGTAGGAAAGAAGCGAGTACAAAGATTGATGATTAGGTGCATCTTTGTTTGAAGCAGTTAGGGAAGATGGTAATTTGAAAAGGGAACGAGTGATTGGTCCGGTTGAAAGTTTCATTTCGTGGATTCAGAGGGGAGGGAGGGACTTCTTGCCCAGAAGAAGAAGTTTGTTTCTGATTTTGCCTACATGGAGGATATTGGTTGGCTCATAAAATTGTTCTAACAAATAGTATTTAGAAAAAAAAAAAATCTTAACAAAATTTATTTAAAACTGCCACTATAGTAGCAATACTATGTCAAAATTTGGCGAAAAATTATAAGTATACGAGTCCTGTATAGTATTTGAACCTCACAAACAAAGAGAAGTAGCGAAATGTTGAAAAAAGAATAATATGTTGGTAGCCACCATAACAAATCCAAGTAGTAAAACTTATGTAGTTGTCTTATGATTAGATTAGTAAAACTTGGATACCTCTCAATGTTACAAAACTCAAAACAGTCAAAACCATATAATTATCATTGCTGCATAACACAAAGATGTGAGATTACGTTTCAAATGGAAAACGCTCTGATGCCTCAAATTAGTCTTACTGTTCGTCTAGAAAAGAGGATGTGCTGTGTATCAAAGGATGTTTGAGAAGATTGTGTTTGAGCTGATATTAAGGTAGAACAGGCACAAATGCACCATTTCTTTCATCAACAAGCTAAATGGTTCACATAGATGTTTTACAGAACTTCATATATACATGCACATTCAAAAGGATGGAATCATATATTAACACAATTTTGAGCAACAGAGAACTAGATTTTAGTTCTTAAGTCATAAATTCTTTTCTTAAGCAGTTGGATAGGATGAATCCATGGCAATCCCACATAGACCTTCCTTAGCAGCAACGCCGCGTTGCATTCTAATGTATCCGCTCTCGCCCCAACTTTCGCCCCATGAGTTCTTCACTAACCAATATTTTGTGCCATCAGAAGCTGTTCCATAACCAACTGCAGTAACACCATGGTCTAAGTCGGTTCCACAGTCTCCGGTGAAGACTCCACTGGAGTAGAATTGGAATGCCATTCCACTTGCATCAATGGCAACTGAAACTGGTTGATTAGCCACCGCTTTTAGCAATGCAGCTTCATTATTGGCGGGGACTTTCTCATAGCCACTGATCTTTGCTGCATGGGAAGCTTCTTTAGTTTTGCTGCAGGTTCCATCTGTTGCTGTGTAAGGATAAGTCGCTTCTGAGGCGATCCCTTTGTTTTTCACTATGAATGTAAATGCATCTTCCATTTCCCCACCACCACATCCTTGATCGTCGCTTGTTCTGTCACAATCGACGATTTCTTGTTCTGAGAGTGAAATCAACTTGCCAGTACTTAGTTTGGTTATTCCTTCAGTTGCTGCAATTGCTGAAAATGCCCAACAGCTTCCTGAGAAATCATACCAAAATATGTAAGAATGATTAGTGTAATAGTTCTCTTTCTAGTTCTTTTAAACAGTTGTGGATTGCTTGAGTTTCTTACCACATTGGCCTTGATCCTTAACTGGAGTGACTGCGCCTTTCGTTCTCCAGTCTACCGTTGCTGGTACTGCATTCACATTTTCATATTTGAATGTAGTTTTGAGCAACTTTTGGGAAGATGAAAACTTCAATCCATTTCGTGAGGTGGTGAATTCTTCATTGGTGAGGTCTGCGAATTGGTTGATGCCGAGCTTGTAAGGCCTATTTCCAGCCTGATTGAATCCTTCAATAAAAGCTACATTGTCCTTGAATATCCTGAAACGCTTTTCCTTCTCTGCAGCATCTTTGTAAACTCTTCCATAGAGATTCATCCATTCCTCATGCCTCTCTATCATCGCAGCCTCATCGTTTAGGGTTCTGGCTGCAGTTTGAACAGCCAGCAATCCCAAAAGGAACAAGAAACCAATGAAGATTTTCATTTTGAATGATCAAGCTTTTTTTTTTTTTTTTTTTGTGTGTGTTACTTCAGTTGTTTGCTTCAGGACACCATAAAATTCCATGTATATATAGGTATCAAGATTTAATGTATTGCTCCTAATAGTCCCTCTTTTCATGCATTGAACAAAAAAGTGTTCATATTTTCAAATTGCCGGGCAAACTTTGCTGATTTGATCTCGACTTAGCTTACCACCGTACGCAGGTGGTCAATTTTTTTTGTTGCTATTACAATTATGTTTTCAAAGTAGACAAAAGAAGTTCTTGTATGTTTGGTTAAATGGTTTGTTTTGAGCATTATCTTGTCTTTAGTTGATATCTTCTTATTTACTCACTTCGTTCCACAGGACAATAATTCTGGACTGGAGAGCATATATTGTTTTGCCCCTAATAGTACGTGGTTCATATATAAAACTATTGTTGACAGAAACTTAGTGGTAATGATGGAACAACAATTCCCTCCGTATCTACCAAGACTACCACAATGTTCGGAAAACAAACTTTTGATCAATCCTTTGTGCCAGTATCCCCTGCTTTGTTGTCGTTCGCGATCTCATCGTGATCATTGATATCTAAAATTATTGTCCAGTTTGAATTTTCACTTTTTGTTTGAATTTATTACACAATAATTCGGGGCGGATGGAGTATACGTGTCAAGAGAGTCGAGTAAGATACTTGAGGCAGAGCTAGCATATTATACCCAAAGAGGCTATAGATTGTCTTTCGGATCTCTGTCCCGTCTACTTGGAAAAGAACACTCTTGTTTCAAAGGAATCCTAAATGAAATCATTTGCACCTGTGTGAAGGATCAAACAGCATATTTCATTCATTCTGTAAACCAACTCTGACCTAATGAATATGGAAAATGAAGATGGAAAAGAAATCATATCGAACCATCAGTTGGATTTGGAAGTGAGGAGAGACGGTTTCTTAACTCAAGACTCACTTTCCTCATTTGATAAAGACTTGTACATTTCCTGAATGACAGCTTGAAATGCTGCAACATCCATTCTTCAACTAAATCACTCTCGTCCAACCTAAATGACAGTTCTTCTGTCCCAACAAAAGGGTGTCAATGTAAACCGTGTACAGCCTGCAATGTTTGTTCTCCATATCTTTAACGAGATACCACTCAGCTGAGGCATAAAAGTTTCTTCAAGCCAGCTCTCAATTACTTCTGCTGCGCCTTTGTCCTGTTAAATGTGTTAGAATGGTTTGTAGATACTCGAATAAATTGTAAGTGATCTAAAAGTTCCATCCAGATTAATACTCGAATAAATATTCAACTATCATATGCAGAACTCAAATTCAAGGTACACTGATGAGTTTAAAATCAAACTTACTGGCTGCTTGAATTAATTACTGGATACAATATCCAAACATGTTTAGAAGGGAACACAACAAGTTTGTTTGTAGATATTGCTTGAAGCCTTGAACCCTTCATCTCAGAATATGCCTAGTGACGCTTTCAACTCCATAACCCAAGGAGAAATTAATAATTGACCATCATGTAAAGATGATAAATGGTAAAAGCCATAGTTTCCAATGACGTTATTAAGGTGGTCTACCACGAAAATGTCATTTGCTGGAAACACACACACACACACACAGAGGCCAATTGCTAACAGGAAACCTAACAGGAAGAATTTCCACTAGTGTCACTTTTGCATTGATTCTGTGCCAATTGCTTTGTAAAGAAAGACACGTAAAAATCAACCGAAACAAAAAAAATCTAGAAAAAGAAACTCAAAAAGTAGTTCTAGCAATCGAAAATTTGAACATCAGGTACAATCTTCGCTGTCCTGATATAAACCTGAAAACCTTCTTGTAATCTTCTTTCCAAGCAGTCAATTAAAATTGAAACTTCCTTCATTAACCCTCTTCGCATACTACCCTCCGTCACAAAATGATTATTTAGTACAATTAACGGAATAATCATTTTGGGCGGAGGGAGTAGTGTTATTACAAATTTTTGTCGCAGTAATAGCTGTACAAAATCACACTATGTTTATGACAAGGGAAACAATCTATATCCTACAAACAAAGAATACGACTGTGCAAACTCCGTATATCCTAAAGAAGGGAACATCAACAGATTGAATGGCTATACTGCAGCTGATGTCAGTTAATGTCTAATTTCACAGGATCCAGACATGAAGATACCATTGAATGTTGTCGATGGAGATGATGGTAAGAAAGATTCTAGAAATGTTTGGAGAACAAACTGTTGATCAACCCTCTGCCCTTTTTCCTCGATTCATCCTCATCATGGTCGATGGTGTATACCCAATCACTATCCATAGACTCTTCAATCATTTGTAAATCTGAATCCTGTGTTTATATCCAAAAATAAGAAAAGAACATAAATATCTGGTAATGCATAGAAAAACACAATTCCGGAAAGCAGGTCTTAGGGAAAAGCACTCCTCAAATCAATAAGAAATTCTTACTTCAAGCAGAGCTGCATTGTTCCCAAAGAGGCTATGGATTAGCTTGCGGGACTTTCTCAGATCCAATTGGAGAAGAGCACCTTCTCTTTTCAAAGGAAGCCTAACAATATTCATTTTCTCTTGTGCAAGGGGATCAAAAAGCACAATTTCATTCATCCGGTAAACCATCTCAGACCTGAAACGTTGCTGCACCTGCATAAAGAAGCAAACTTAGAAGCTAGGCATTTATCAAATGGAGTATTATTACGGGATGATATGAACATGGACCACTCGTCGCAAACACTTGATTCGCCAAATTACACACTTTCAATATGAGATCTGACCGTTTGACAAAGTGTTACATGCATTAAGTAAAGACAGAAGACTTCAGAAACATTGAAAGATGATAAATTTCTGTACTCGTACCTCTTTCGCATCAGTATTCTTAGATGTAGAAGGATTAGAACAACCAAAGAACTTGCTGATCATATCTTTGTTTCCCAGATCTGTTGTCACAATAATTGTTGTCTTCCTTAAATCAACCATTGAACTTGGACCATCATTTAACATGCCAGTGTCGAGGATATTCAGCAGAGTTCCAAGTACTGAATCATTAGCTTTCTCTATGAGGTCAAACAGAAGAATACTATGAGGACAAATCCTCACAGCCTCCATCATTGACAATGCATAACTTTCATGGCTGTTGGGAAAAGGCATTTGAAAGAGTCAGGCCAACATTCCAATCCAAAATAAGCTGAAGCTTCAACAATGTAAAATGTTAAGTAATACCTTCCAGAGTTGCAAAATAGGTGTGATTGAGAGTCCTCGTTTGACATATCAACCCGGACAAGCAAACTACTACCTGGTTCAGTCATCTTAAAGTGATTGGTGAGATCATTCACAAATTCTGATCTAGTAGAACTAGTGAGCCCCATCAGTAGAAAAGATGTAGGGCTTTTCTTGTCAAGACCAAGAGGTTCGTCAATTGATTCCAGCACGGCATCAATAAACACATTGACAGCTTGATTTTGATTACTCTTCTTCAGTTGTAGTAATCTTGGTTTGAGGTTTTCGCAAAGGACACACTGGCTAGCATGGACACAAATTGTGTTTTTTGGCTCCTCAAAGAATAGCAACAAAAACACAAATTGTGTTTCAATGAACAACCAAATTTATAATGATCAGAAAGTGAAGATGGAATCAAAATCATACCAAGTGCCAAATCTCCTTGTTCAAATCCTCATCCGGCTGGATTATTTTGTTGCAAATTTCACTGGCATGCATAGCTTTCTGCAGAAAAATCACTGTTTCGGGATTGGATTCGTCGCCTGGATCCGGAACTGGAAGTGAAGAGAGACAGTTTCTTAACTCAAAAATCTCATTCCTCTTTTGATAAAGACTTCTAGATTTTCTGAATGACTGATTGAAATGCTGGTACATCCATTTTTCAGCTAAATCAGTCTCATCCAATCTGAATGACAGTTCTTCTGTCCCGACCAGGGTGTCAATGTAAACTGTATATGGCGGTATGTGATGTTTGCTAGCCATATTTTCAACAATACTCCATAGATGCGGGATCACAGTTTCTTCCAGCCAGGGCTCGATTGCGTTAGCACCTTTGTCCTGTTATAAAATAGTTGAAGCTTACAACTAGATCATACACAGGGCATTTATACATACCAATTTGCATAGCTAGTGAATGAAATAATTTCCAAATCCTCAGCTAGTTTGACAAGAAAAATAAAAGCAAACACTTAACATTTGCAGGCTTTTTCCAATAAATAGATAAAGTTATTACGACATTGCGCAAAGCCACTTTTTTCAGATTTCAAGGTTTTTTTTTTTTTTTTGAAACGGTTCAGATTTCAAGGTTATCATCAATTTTACCATGAAATTGTGGGTAATTTGTAAAAACAAAACAATGGAAGCATCAAAACAGAAAAAATGTAAAACCAAAGCTAAAACCAAATTGTAGTAGATGGAAACTTACAGGCTGCCTGAAGTAATTACTGGATACAAGATCCAAAACATGTTTTGAAGGTGATGCAATGAGTTTGTTTAAAGAGATTTCTTGAACCCTTTTCCTCAGAATGTGCCTAGTAGCATTCTCAACTCCACGAGCCAATGAATCGAAGACAACAGTGCCATCCAGAGCATTTAGCAAGTCGGCACCAAAAATTGTTGTTGCCTGCAGCGTTGAATAAATTAGCCAGCCTCATCATTATAAACGTTTACGTTAACTAAAACAGAATACTTAGCTAGAATCATAAAATACTCATACCTCTTCAAGAACATGATCATGAACCGTTTTTTCAGGACACTTGGGATTTTGATCAATAGAACTTGGTGATGTGAGTTTTTCAGCTCCGACATTGGAGGTCAGGATAACAATCACATTAGAAAGGTTGACATGCTGGCCATTATCACTGAGGTTGCCACAAACTAAATCCAAAAGGAGAGTCCTCATTGTATCAAGATGAGACTTGTCAATTTTCTTGAACAGGATAAGACTGTATGGATTTTTACTGATAGTCTCAGCAAGCCACTGAAGGCCAGAATACTCTTGCTTCAACTCTCCATATTTCGACATGTCTATGTGTATCAAATTATCCAGTGAACTAAAGAAAACCTCAGTTATGCATTTGGCAACTTCAGTTTTGCCTACTGCAGAGGGTCCCAAAAAGAGCAATGAGGCTCTAGGGCGCTTTACTCTGTCAGGATGGAGCAACGCATTTGTAAATATTGACTCTTGGATGTGCCTGATTGCATCATCCTGGCAAACAACCCTCTCAGAAATGTGGCTGGACAAACATGACAATTCTGTTGAACCATAAGTAGGCAGCAAGGGAAGAGGAATGCCAATCAACCTGCTCACCACCTAAACGTATTGCAAACCATAAAGCAAATGTGTCCAAAGAGAAGGCCATAATGAATGAGATCATAGCACAACCAAGAAGTTTGTTTTGTGAGGAGATAAAATGCCGGTAAGTTACAAATACCTGTCCAATGTGCCTTCGATCAAGCGTCATAACATCATCATCAGGTTGCATTTGAATATTCTCAATCTCAGCAGCCAGCGCATCTAGTTTCCTCAACTTATGGTAGCATTTCAAGTAGTCCCCAGTCCAGCAAGCAGAAGAAATGTCGCCAGGGGTTAAAGCAAGACGCTTATGGAGGGATTCTTGAGTGTGACGGTAACAAGCTTCTTCCCCTTCAAGAGATTGCAGGAGAACGGGCTTCTGTTCTGAGACCAACTTAGACAAGACAGTTCTTGCTTCATCGAATTCCTTGGCAACTCGAATCAGCCACTGCTCAGGTTCAGGGTTTTCCCTGAGTAGTTCATTCGATTCAACAATATAACGGCAGAAAACATACTCCAGTTCATCCATCCATTTCTCATCAGCATGGTTATTGATTTCAGATTTCACCAACAAGCAACCACTAGTCAGTATATCTACAGCCATCTCTTCAAGCTCACGCCCTTCTCAATCAAAACATAACACAAGAAAACAGCAAAAAGTAGGCACATTACTGAAAAGAAAAAACCTCCATGGCAAATAACAGTTTCATCCATTAAAAATTATGCCCAACAGAACCGAAGACGAGGTGTCCAGGAAAAATTTCAAAGAATCAAGGGCTTACTGACTTACTCTAAAACAGAACTCACAGAAGATAACCAAGAACTGAATCGATACACATCAATCGCACAGAAACTAGGCCAAACCCTAAATGGGGAGCATAAACTATTCATGAACGATAAACCACCAAAGACGCACAGGACAAGTAAATTGGGACAGAGATCATACGAATTGGAAGTAAAATAAGCACGAATTGAACCTGAAAGGGTTTCGGAAAAGTGGCGATGAGTAAGATAGGTTGCCCAGCAAACAGTGGAATCCGGAATCCGAACCCCATGTTCCATCTTCAAGTCCGGGACCGACTTCATAATTGACTTCATCAGGGCCGATTGCTCTTCATCCCCGTCGATTGCCTCCATAAGAGATATGTGTTTCGGCCCTTTCGGCTTTGGAAATTTCAATTCGACCTTAGAACTCCGCCGGCACGGTGGAGTGGCCATGAATGATCGTATGCGTACGTGGAAATCAGGCAGAGGAACACAACTTCAAATCGAAGACTCCCGCTCTGAAATTGAACCCTTCCGGAGCGAAAATTGAGAACCAAATCAAACAAATGGGAGAAAAATTTGTTCCAGGAAATTCAAACTACGCGAATCAATGAAGAAATTCAGGGGGCGAGGGGGAATTTTGATTTGCAGATACTACCCTGTTTTCATTCAGTTGCATGAATATGGAATCAGTTCAAGAAAACTCAAATCAAAGGCATTTTCGTAAAACTTTACTTGATCAAGAAAACAAGAAATTGGCGACTGTAAACCCTCTTTGATGGTTTGACGGGAAGGAAATTATGTTACTATATCATACTATATGCTACTGGACGCAGTTCAGTTGGTGGAGACTTTTGGAATAGCTGGAGTCAAAACTCAAAAGTCTCCTAAACGAGCCAAGACTTTACTCTTGCGGGAGAGTCGTCCAAGTAGTACTTTTAAATTGGTTTCCATCTTCAATAACAATTCATCGGCGATCAATTTTGTGTCTTTCCAGGATGCCACTTATTCAAACTTTCTTTATTTATAGATCCAAATAATGGTGTCGTATTTTTATATAGATTTTTAGAGTTATTCTATTATTATTATAATTATTAGATTTTAGAGTTTGAACTCTGAAGTAGTGAGAACTCCATTGATAGTAAAAATTTTACTTACTACGCAGCTGCATAATTTATACTCACAAAAGAAGCACAAAATATGTGCAACCAATCATGTCATCAGGATTGCTGACTTGGCAAGTCGGTTAACCACCATTCCCGCCAAAGCGTACTGCAAGGTTAGCTAGACGAATAGAATCTGGCATTTCGGTCTTTTTCTATATTTTTTTTCTTCTTTAAAAAATTACGGGATTACAATATCACATAAAATTTAAGTTTAGTCACAAATCATCAAGTAGTTATAATATTTACTTCTTAACAATAATCGTCAAGACTTTAATTAAGTCTTGAATTTTTACTGTAATGTTTGAATTTCGCTATTAGTTTAAGTCAAACAATTTAAACCGAACTAAAAAATAATGTAAAATTTTCCATTGATTTTGATAAGATGAAGACAATAAGTTTCTACTTTTATTGGCTAAATTAGTACTTGTCCGTGGGTTGCACGGGTTTTTTAATAAATGTTCATATTTCGTTGTGATTTTAATTTATATTGATAAAAGAATTTATATATGAATCATGAATATGGATAATGTGTGTAATTTTATGTAGTTGTCACTTTCATACGGTTGAACATATTAATGTGTGATATTTAAGTATTTTTAAAGTATTGAAAAAAAATATAAAAATAACATGCCACAATCACAATACTTCAAAATGTACGAAACATGAATTTTTTTTTTCAAGAAATAAGATTTTATTAAAATTGGCCTTTGCAAAGCCAATATGCCTCGAATAATGAACAACAATCCACAAAGAAAGAAAGAAAAGTAATTACAATATCCACCACCAACTTCCATAAAGTAATTCTGACATAAAAAAACATTATAAGATATTTATATATTCTCCCAATAAAATGGTGATGTAGTGAAATATTTATGATATGGTGAAAATATATTTGCATATTGTTTCCTTGAATATCTATGCATATATCTAAAACTATAATTAAGAAAAAATGTATATATATATATAATGAAATAAGTTTTAGTATCAAGAGATGGCAAAAAGTGAATTTCATAAACAAATGATTGACAGATTAATCGAATCGTCGAAGTGATGGTGAATGGTGATAAGTGATTGTTCCGTGTTATAATTCGTTAATGGTGATTGTGTTTTTTTTTATTAAAATATCCAAATAAGATCAAATTTCTTAAGCAAAACAAAAAGAGAGGTCTCAAGTATTTAAGTACCTACTGCAAAGATTATTAGAGATCAGTTTTTTTTTTTAAAGAAAAAAAAAAAGCTCACATCCAGTGCCATTTCTTCCTCATCACTTATGAACACTACAAAGAAAAAACTAAAAAGAAAAGAGAACCAAAATCACAGTCTGCAATACTAATTTAACTCTTCATTGAATATATGATAGAGTATTAACTTTTGTCACGAGTATGGTGTATAACCAGAAACTCAAACCCGACAAAAATAAAGTTAAATTGATAGAGAAAAACATAACCAAAATCTTAGATGAAACTTGATATCAAAAAGGCTTACATGAGATTTCACGGAAGATGGCTTTCCTCAAAAAACCTTTTTACTGAATTTTTCAAAATCTCAAAAGTTAAAGAGAAAAAGAGCTCCACAACATAAAGGTTCACTGATGCTTTTCATCCACCCAAATCAATTCCCGCAATCTGCAAAAAACGATTAAATACCCAAATTCACTCCAATAGAATATTCAACAAATTCAATAAAAGATAAAATCATGTGAATTTAAATAATAGAGTATGTTTACCTCTAATGAATAGATGAGTTAAGAATATTTTTAGCATACACAGTATACAGTGAAATCTCCCTAAATTAATCCTCTATTAATTAATAACCTCTACTAAATAATATTTGTCTCCGGTCCTAACTCGGGATCAGTACAAAAAATGAAAAAACTCGATTAATTTATAAGATAATAATTTTTCAAGAATATCCTATGTAAATATAGGCCCACACAATTTTATAAATTAATAAATATCTAAAATAATAAAATAGAGTTGAAGCTAACTTAGATTTTAACTTAAGTATTTTTGTTTACTTTTACAATTATCATATTTTTGTTCTATTAAAAATTATAATGTTATGGCTAGTGCTGCAACGGACTTTTTTTTAATATGAAATAAATAAATTATTGCATTTTCTTACTCACAAGATGGGAAAAAATCTCTTTAAATTAATAAAATATTAATTTATCGATAAATTAATAACTCTATAAATTAATAAACTTTTTGGAGGTCCGAGTGTATCAATTTATAGAGGTTTTACTGTATATATAGACATTTAGAGTTTGATTATGATTTAAACTCAAGCTGGATGATTAGATTATCTGTAATCATCATTGAAATCATCATCTAACTCAAGCATTGAAATTATTTCCGTAACTAAATATTTATCTTTAGATATTTGTTTAAAATTCTGTGTAACCATATATTTATATTTTTTTTACCTTAAGTCAAATAGTGAAGTTGTTATTATATGATGATAATTTTATTTTTTACAACCAACTTAATTGACTTTCTAATTTTATGCCAAATCAGCATTTTTCATCTTCTATTAATATATATATATATATATATATATATATATAGATAGATTACATCGACAATAATGCTATTTTTCCTTACAATTTAAAATTACAAGTAGTATTTTTCCTCACACTTTTATTAAAAACCCTCACTATATGATGTGCAGAGATCAAAAGTAACAGAATGACCTCAGATGGATTTTTTGCTTATTTAAGGAAGATGTTTTATAAATAAATTTAATTGATGGCTTGTAATAAAATTATCCAATAGTTCAATGACATCTTTTATGATACACTCTTTTATTAAAAATTCTTTAGTCAATTCGTTTTATTTCGTCAATTTACTCATCAAACATTCGAGTATCGTTTTAGTATCAGGTTAAAAAATTAAAATTGAATTTTGAGTGGGTCTGAGTACTCATTGACAAACTGATTTATTAATTCGGTTGGTTTTTAATTAATGACAAATTAAACACTCTCTCAAAGTCTCAAAATAATTATTTTGTAAATAAATTTAATTGATGACCTGTAATAAAATTATCCAATAGTTCAATGACATCTTTTGTGATACACTCTTTTATTAAAAATTCTTTAGTCAATTCGTTTTATTTCGTCAATTTACTCATCAAACATTCGAGTATCATTTCAGTATCAGGTTAAAAACTCAAAATTGAATTTTGTGTGGGTCTGAGTACCCGTTAACAGATTAACTCATCAATTCAGTTGGTTTTTAATTAATGACAAATTAAGCACTCTCTCAAAGTCTCAGAATGATTATTTTATAAATAAATTTAATTGATGACATGTAATAAAATTATCCAATAATTCAATGACATCTTTTGTGATACACTCTTTTATTAAAAATTCTTTAGTCAATTCATTTTATTCCATCAATTGACTCATCAAACATTCGAGTATCATTTCAGTATCAGGATAAAAACTCAAAATTGAATTTTGAGTGGGTCTGAGTACCCGTTGACAGATTGACTCATTAATTCGGTTGGTTTTTAATTAATGACAAATTAAGCACTATCTCAAAGTCTCAGAATAATTATTTTGTAAATAAATTTAATTGATGACCTGTAATAAAATTATCCAATAGTTCAATGACATCTTTTGTGATACACTCTTTTATTAAAAATTCTTTAGTCAATTTGTTTTATTCCATCAATTGACTCATCAAACATTCGAGTATCATCTCAGTATCAGGATAAAAACTTGAAATTGAATTTTGAGTGGGTCTGAGTACCCATTGACTGATTGACTCATTAATTCGGTTGGTTTTTAATTAATGACAAATTCAGCACTCTCTCAAAGTCTCAAAATGATTATTTTGTTTGTATTTTCACTTTAAGCATAATTTGTAGAAATCAAAATCCAAATTTAGCGAGGACGAAAAGAATAGATTACAAAGCACAAAATTGAAAATTAAGTTACATGTTATCATGTTTTAGTAATGTTGTGGCTTCATTGTTGCAGTTCTTCTCCAATTCTTTACCTTTTTTTTTTTTGGGTGAATTACAACAACATACGTAGTTACAGTCCTACCGATAAACTACTTGCCGCATCTTTAACTATTAACAATCTAATACTATTAGGGACTCTATCACAAAACAAGAGTCCATCATCTAGACTAAGTTCTAAGGCTGATTTGGCTAGTGAATCAGCACAAAAGTTATTATCCCGGAAGGTATGTTTAAGCTTAAACTCCCTTTCCAAAATCAAAATTTCCTGGACTTCATTCATCTAGAAATCTCCCCTAGGTTCTCTGACCACGCTTTGAACCTTTTCGACAGCTCCAATTGAGTCAGATTCGAATACCACTTTCGAGAGACCCAACTTCTTAGCAATTTTCATTCTTAGTAAAATTGCTTTTAATTCTGCCCTTTCAAGAGAGCAAAGGCTTATCCTTTCCTGAAAAGCCTTCAAAAACCTCCCACAATTGTCTCTAATTATTCCTGCTACTGCTACTTTCTGATTTTGTTGGCATACCGCAACATCACAGTTAATTTTTACCCATCCTTCTGGTGGTGGAGTTCATCCCTTTGCATCCTCCCTTATTGGCTTCTTGTTTTTCCATTTCAATAGCATTATACTCCTGTCAATCTCAGATGCCTTCATTCTTGCCATTCTGATTATATGTTCATTGGATGTAACCTCCCCATTGAATACAAACCCGTTTCTAGCATTCCAGATACTCCAGCCGGCTGCTCCAAA